AGGAGGAGTTCCAGTGTTTTGCTGATGCTTTACCTCATCTCGTGTCCATGCTGCTTGCCCCTGAGGGAGACCCGGATGCACCAGACATCCCGACCCCGCGCTCTTACGCAGAGGCAATAGAGGGTCCCTAATGCTCTCAGTGGCAGACAGCCATGGACGCAGAGATGGCTTCCTGGAAGTCCACAGGCACCTACGTCGACGAGGTTCCCCCACTTGGGGCGAACATTGTCGATGGCATGTGGATTTTCAGGGTGAAGCGGCCGCCAGGTTCTCCTCCTATCTTCAAGGAGCGTTTCGTGGCTCGAGGCTTCAGTCAGCGGCAGGGAGTTGACTACTTTCAGACCTTCTCTCCCACCCCGAAGATGACCACTCTTCGGGTACTGCTGCACGTCGCTGCTCAGCGTGACTACGAGCTGTCAGAATGTTATGTTTTGTCTAGCCTGCAGTGGGGTACTCAATAGTGAGTACAGCCCAAATTTAGGGTTTGCTATATGTACTCAACTGCTTGCTAGTAAAACCTCTTTTTCTCGTTTCTAACTTCCACTGCTATTTTCTGACATGGTATCAGAGCAGGTCGACCCTCCTGGGTCGATCCTGTGGGTGGGTCCCACCCGATGCTTCCGCTGCTCTACTGCTTGTAGCGCGCCTTGGGCGCGTGCTGTTTCCTGCCTGCCGCGCGCTCCGGGCGCGCAGCGATTTTTCTTCCCGCCGCGCGCCTGCCCCGTCGAACTGTCGCGTCGCCCCCCGTCGCCCGACGCGGCCCGCGCGACCTGCGCCAGGCCCGCGCGCGGCCCGTATGGGCTGCGCCAGGCCCGCGCGCGACCCGTACGGGCTGCGCCAGGCCCGCGCGCGGCCCGTATGGCCTGCGCCAGCCCAGCGTGCGGCCCGTACGGGCTGCGCCAGGCCCGCGCGCGGCTCGGGCAGCCCGCGCGCGGTTCGTACGGGCTGCACCAGGCCCATGAGCGGCCCGTACTGTCTCCCCCCTTGCCGCACGCCGTCCCCCGAGCTCCTGACTGCGCCCCACCCCCGCTGCTGCCTGCGTTCCTGTGTTAGGGTTTGGGGGTGGAGAGTATGGGGGTGCCGTGTGTGTGAGCCATCCCCTGCTCCTCCTCCTACTCCGTCTCCCACTCCTGCAGCTGCCGCTGAGGGGGGTGGGTGTGTGTGAGTCGACGGAGTGGTGCTAGGGGGTGGAGTGTGAGTGAACCTAGGGGTGCAGCAGGGGGTGTGTGAAAGGGGGGTGAGACAGTTAGAGGGAGGTTGGGCGGAGGCAGCTGTCGTGTCGCCAGCAGCCCCAGTAGTCCGATGGCTACAATCTCCGGTAGCCCAGCGAGCCTGCTGCGCCAGTCGCCCGTGGGTCCGTTGCTCCTGCCGCTCAGAGTTAGCCGCGGAGCCAGTTACTCCAGTAGTCCGGAGGCTACAATCTCCGGTAGCCACAGTGTGCGCCGCTCCTGTTGCCCGTGTTTCTGCAGCTTCACCTGTCGTCTCCTATCTCTTCTCCTCTCACAGTCCCTCCTCCTCCTCACTTACCGTCTGTGACTGCCTCTAGCTTTGCATATATTTGTGAACTATAAACTGCTGCTTCTTGTACTTGTGCTCAGAATGTGTGGTGACGTTGTGATCCACCCTGAGCTTGTTTTGCTTTGCTTGTTGTGCTGATTACACCCCACTTTGGCTATGGGGGTGTGTCAGAATATTATGTTTTGTCTATCCTGCAATGGGGTACTCAATAGTGAGTACAGCCCAAATTTAGGGTTTGCTATATGTACTCAACTGCTTGCTAGTAAAACCTCCTTTTCTCGTTTCTAACTTCCACTGCTATTTTCTGACACGAGCTTCAATCTCTTGACTTCAGCACAACCTTCCTACAGGGCAGCCTGCACGAGGAGATCTGGCTGCGCCGCCCACCTGGCTTCACTGGGTCGTTTCCTCCTGGTACCCAGTGGAGCCTCCGGCGGCCAGTCTATAGTCTCCGCCAGGTGCCCCGTGAGTGGCACGACACACTGAGGACTACACTTGCGGCACTTGGGTTTGCTCCTTCCACTGCTGACCCGTTGCTGTTTCTCCGCACCGACACCACTCTGCCGCTGTTCTACATCCTCGTGTACGTCGACGACTTGGTCTTTGCTATTGGTGACACTGCTGGACTGGCCCACGTGAAGTCGGAGTTGCAGAAGAGATGCACGTGCACAGACCTGGGTGAACTGCGCAGCTATCTTGGCTTGCAGATCACCCGGGACAGAGCACGACGCACCATTACCTTGACTCAGTCACACATGGTGCAGCAGGTCCTTCAGCGCTTCAACTTCACGTACTCCTCGCCTCAGGCCACTCCTCTGTCTACTCGCCACTCGCTCTCAGCTCTGCCTTCGGATGAGTCCGTGGAGCCGAGTGGCCCGTACCCAGAGCTTGTTGGCTGCCTCATGTACCTGATGACCTGCACTCGACCTGACCTGGCATACCCTCTTAGCATCTTGGCACGCTATGTTGCTCCTGGGAGACACCGACCAGAGCACATGGATGCAGCTAAGAGGGTGTTGCGCTACTTGTGTAGTACGTCGGGCATGGGGCTTGTGCTTGGAGGACGGGCTCGCGTTGTCCTCACTGGTCACGCAGACGCTTCTTGGGTTGACGACTTGGCTACTCAGCGGTCGTCACAGGGTTACACCTTCAGCCTTGGTTCCGGCTCTGTTTCGTGGCGGTCTACCCGCTCATCTTCTGTTCTCAGCTCCTGTTCTGAGGCTGAGATCTACGCTGGGGCCATGGCTGCACAGGAGTTACGCTGGCTCACCTACCTGCTGACCGACTTGGGAGAGGCGCCTCGTTCTCCTCCTGTTCTGTACGTCGACAACAAGGCCATGCTTGCCTTGTGTCAGGAGCACAGACTGGAGCACAGAACGAAGCACATTGCTCTGCGCTACTTCCTTGCTCAAGAGTTGCAGCAGCGTGGTCAGCTTCGTCTTGCTTACGTGGCCACTTGGGCCAACACTGCTGATATCTTTACCAAGGCACTTCAGCCTTGTGATCATCAGCGTTTTTGTACTATGCTAGGTATTGTGCCTACTTGGCCTCACTTGCTCACTTCTTAACTTTGCTTGTACTGTGATCTATATATACCTGCACCTGCATGCTTACCCTTGCTAGGTTGAGATCACTGTCTTGCTTGTTCACCTTGATATATAACTCTGCATGTGAACTGGCCTTGTGGCCTTGTGCTTGGGCTCAGAATGTGTGGTGATGTCGTGATCCACCCTGGGCTTGCTTTGCTTTGCTTGACTGGTCTTGTGACCTCTTGTTCTCCCCCACTTTGCCTATGGGGGTGTGTTAAACATATATGATTTAAACTTTTCTAGGTTTTCATACTTGTACCCATCTCCTTTCTAGTCCACATCATTCCTCGTACTATTCTCACAACTCAGGCCAACACTGCAGATATTTTCACCAAGGCACTTCAGCCTGGTGATCATCAGCGTTTCTATACTGTTTTAGGCCTTGTGCCTACTTTGCCTCACTTGCTCACTGCGTGCCTTTGCTTGCACTGTGATCTATATATAACTTTGCATGTCAACTGACCTTGTGGTCATTTGCTTGTCCTCAGAATGTGTGGTGACTTTGTGATCCACCTTGAGCTTGCTTTGCTTTTCTTGACTGGTCTTGTGACCACTTGTTCCCCCCCACTTTGCCTATGGGGGTGTGTCAAAATATTATAATGCTTACATTGTTTAGGCTGTAGTGGGGTAGCCTATAAGGGGTACAACCCAATTAGGGCTAGTACTTGTACCCAACTCATTCATAGTTCATCCATTCTCATTCAGTATTCTGACAAGCACCACGCTGGGGCCGGCGTGAAGGGTGCGCGTGGGACGAATCTGCTGTGGGCGCTGACGACGACGTGGCAGACTCCAAAGAGGAGTTTCCCACTGGCACGGAGGCTGGCACCGCGGAAGATGTCTTTCCCGTGGGCGCCCTGGGCGGCGACGACGACGATGGCGTGGAGTATTGGTCGCGCGACGGTCTTCCCGAAAAACTACCGATTCCGTCGTTTTTGCCGATTAATCGCAAGCGTCCTCACCCTGCTTCTGAGAACCGCGATGCCTGCCCCCCCTCTCCCAGGCACAAGCCCTCTCTGCATAAGAGTAACGCTTATACTGCGCAGGAGAAGCTCAAGTGGATTGGACGCATGGATGTGGCAGTGTCGGTGCGAGCGTTGTCTCGCGAATCGGGAATCCACCGCAAGTGCTTGACGGATTGGAAGAGAGCCGCCGCGATGCTCAAGGAGGCACACTCCGCACGGAAGCGTGCACGGCCGCGGGAGGGCCTCCTGGTACAGGCCGATGGAGCTGAAGGTTTACGCCAAGCTACTCGAGTGGCGCCGCAAGGGACATGCTGTCTCCGTCGGGTGTCTGCAGGAGTGGTCAAAGGAATACAGGAAAGTTCCTTTTCCACGACGTGAAATGGAAGGGGAGCCAACGGTGGTCGGAGCGGTTTCGGAAGAGGTGGAATCTGAGCGTGTGCATGAAGACAATGATCACCCAGAAAACCGCCGCCCGTAAGAACAATTTCGCCATGTTTGCATATTGTTTTCTTCTCTGGTGCTGGTTGTTTACTGACACACCCGTCCCCATCTTCATCTCCTTGTATCGCAGTTGACGCGGAGCAGTGCCAGAATTTCTGGCAATTCGTGCGGGACAAGCGACGTGAGTGCGGCATCGAATCCCACTGGATTATCAACGCCGACCAGACGCCGCTTTGGCCGGAGATGCCCGCCACCACCACTGTAGACCAGACGGGAGTGCGCTCGGTGCCCATCAGGAGCGCGGGCTACTAGAAGGAACGCGTGACCATTATGCTGGCGTGCACGGCTGGGCTCCTCCTTTCCCCTCCACATCCCACGCCATTTGTTGCACTCTAATATGATCTCTCTCACGTGATCAATCTCTTTCCATCACCTCCCTCCTCCCACCCATCAGAACGGCCCCGACGATCGTAGCATACCGGGCAACATGGTGGCATTGAGTGCCCACATGCCCTTCGCTCCTCCGGTCAGCTTAATCCACACCTGCTCCTCCTTTTCTCCGTGCTCCCTACCCCTCCTTTTCTCTCTTTCTTCCCTCCCCCCACCCCACACTCTACCCGCACCAGAACGGCCCCGACGATCGCAGCATACCGGGCAACACGGTGGCAGTCAGTGCGGACATGCCCTTCACCCCTCCAGTCAATTCCTCAACTGCTTCCCCTTCCCTGTCTCCCTTCTTTATCTGCTATCTTCCCTCATCAGAACGGCCCCGATGAGCGCAGCATACCCGGCAACACGGTGGCAGTCAGTGCGGACATGCCCTTCGCCGGTCTCACCCACTTTGGCTCCGCCTTCCTCGAGAAGCTTGAAGTGGCACAGATGAGGTGTTGTGGGCGCATGTGAGGTGCGGTGGGCACAGGAATACATTGCCAATAGTTGCCTTGCCAATAGTTTCCTTGCCAATAGTTGCCTTGCCAATAGTTGCCTTGCCAATAGTTGCCTTGCCAATAGTTTACTTGCCAATATTTGCCTCGCCAATAGTTGCCTTGCCGATACTTGCCTTGCCAATACGTGCTCCCACCACACTGCCTACCACCCGCCTTCCCTGTCCCCTCTCCTCCTCACACCAACTTCTCCTCAACCGCATCTGCTCGGTGCGCACCTTTTGCGCCCTACCACCCACTGCCTGCATCACTACTGCTCACTCCTCCTCCTCCCCCTTTTCCCCCTCTCCTTCCCCTCCCTCCCTTTTCCCCCGATCTCCTCTCCAGCTGCCCCAACCCCATGTTGACCACATCTGCCTGGTGCACACACCAAGGGTGTCAGGAGTACCTTCTCCCCCCTCCCCTTTTCTCCCCCCCTTCACCAGCTACTCCACCCTCCCTAGGTCCACATGTGCTTCGACAACACACTGGGTGTTCGAGAACACATGTGGCAGTCCCACTGTTACTTACTCTCCCTGTCATCAACACCCCCCTGCTCACCGCTTCTCTCACCGCCCTCACTAGCCACCCCACCACCCCTGATGACCACATCTACCTCGTGCACTCACCAAGAGTGCCAGCAGTACTGCACCAAGGCATCTTTCTTCCCCTCCCTTCCATTCGCCCCCTTCTTTCCCTCCCCTCAACCCCTCTCTCCAGCTACCCCACCTCTTGCTGAGCCACATCTGTCTGGAGGACACGCCGGGCGTGCTGGCAGTACCTGCATCTCCCCCTGAGCCCTTCTCCCCTTCCCCCCCCCCCCCCCCCCCCCCCCCCCCCCCCCCCTCTATCCCCCCACCAGCTGCCGCACCCCCTGCTGGACCACATATGTCTGGTGGACACGCCGGGCGTGCTAGCGGGGGAGAAGCAGCGCACCCAACGCAGCTACGACTTCACTGGTGTCACTGAGGTGAGGGGGTGTGGTGGAGGGGGTGAGGGGGGGTTCAATGTCAGCTTGTTGACATGTAATGAAGCAGCGCACCCAACGCAGCTACGAATTCACTGGTGTCACTGAGGTGAGGGAAGGGTTAGGGGGGTAAGGTGGCTCAGGGCTGTGGGTGAGTGAAGGGGGGGGTGAGAGTGTGGTTAGTGAGGGAGAAACATATGGGTGTTCGAGACTCGGTTCAGGGATGGAGCGCAAAGCAGCGCAAAGGAGGTAGGTAGAGGGCTCTGAGCAGCTACGACCTCCTCTCCATGTGCAGAACATCGTCTGCCCCAGTGGTTCGCCGGCGCAACATCATGTGCTGCTCCTTGACCCGCACAAGCTCGACAGGCACAACAATGACTGTCCTGTCCACTCAATGATTGCCTAAACCCCATCCCATCCACTCAATTATTGCCTAAACCCCATCCCATCCACTCAATGATTGCCTAAACCCCATCCCATCCACTCAAAGCACATTTTCCCCTCTCCCTCCCCTTGCTCACCCATTCCCCCCTCCAACTAGTTCGCCAGCAAGTGCCACCTCATCCTGCTGCTCTTCCACCCGCACAAGCTGGATGTAGCAATGATAGTTGCTCACTCCCCTTCCTCACCCATCCCCCCCTCCCCATTCCTCTCCCCTCCAGTGGTTCGCATCAAATTGCGACCTCATCCTGCTGCTCTTCGAACCGCGCAAGCTGGACGTGAGCAATGAGTTCAAGCGCGTCATCACGTCGCTGCACGGCAACCAGGATAAGATCCGACTGCTGCTCAACAAGGCCGACCAGGTCAACACACAGCAGGTGAGACGCGTTGACCAGGTCAATACGCAGCAGGTGAGACGCGTTGACCAGGTCATCATGCAGCAAAGGCTTGAATGTGCACACAGCGCATGCCTGTTGCGCTCATGCCCGCTCCTGTGTTTCTCGCTTCTCCTCTCCTCACTCCCCCCACCCCCTCACCTCATGCGTGTGTACGGTGCATTCATGTAGTCAATGGTTGATTGAGAGTGAATCATCACAACCCACACGCTGTTCGCCTCTCCTCTCCTCTCTCCTCTCTCCCCTCCCACCACCCCCCGCAGCTCATGCGAGTGTACGGTGCACTCATGTGGTCACTGGGGAAGGTTATCAACATGCCTCCTCCTGTGCGCTTGCCACTGCTTCGCTCCTCGCACCCCACACTCTCAGCTTATTCGCCCTTGCCCCTCTCCTCTCCTTCCCCACCCAATTTTGCAGCTCATGCGAGTGTATGGTGCGCTCATGTGGTCACTGGGGAAGGTCATCATCACGCCTCCTGTGCGCTTCACCCTGCTTCTCTCATCACATCCCGCACTCTCACCTCATGCGCTCTCGCTCCTATCCTCTCCTCCCCTGTCCCCACCCCCCCCCCCCCCACCCCTTCAGCTCATGCGAGTGTACGGGGCGCTCATGTGGTCCCTGGGGAAGGTCATCAACACGCCTGAAGTCATGCGCGTGTATATCGGGTGAGTTGGTTCGTTGGGTGAGTTGGTTCGTTGGGTGAGTTGGTTCGTTGGGTGAGTGGCTATGAAGGACGTGCTTGTAGGCGTTGAGAGTCGGTGCCACGGTGCAGCCATGCAACACACACACCTGCATGTGTGCATGCGTGCGAAGACAGCGCTAAGGGCAGCGCGACGGGCTGCAAGGGGCGGCGCGTGGGCCAGCAGGGCGGCGCGCTGTTACGGCAAGGCGGCAGGGCAGTGAGTGGGGCAGTTTTGTGGTGGGCCCTAAAAATACGGTCCTAGGGAAGGACCTGCTCTGAAACCATGTCAAAATACTGAACGAGAATGAATCCATTGAACAGAAGTTGGGTACAAGTACTAAGCCTAATTGGGTTGTACCCCTTATGGGCTACCCCACTATAGCCTACACAAAGTAAGCAATATAACATGTTGACAGCTTCAAGCTTGCAATAGAGGTGGAACCGTGGAACAGGAAAGGTTAGTCAAATAAAGATTTCATTCATGTATACCGCCCTCGGATAAGCCCCCCTACATTATAAAAAACAAATATGCTACCCCGGTTCCTCCATCCTTCACATGGCATACCGTATGGCCCCGGATATAGGCACCGTCCGATTAAAGGCGCCGGCGCCTCTATCTGGAGCATGGCGCTTATGGCCGGAACTCGATTATAAGCGCCCCCCTTGTAAAACCCTGATTTATTATAAGCGCGTGCATAATTTTATTTTGCATTCCTGATTAAAACGGTAACGAATTTCAATTTTCCAGCGAGTCAACAATACAGTATTGTTTTATTTAGCATAATTGAATGCTCTGTGTTTCCTTTCCTGATGTAAATGTAGTTCAAATTAGGGACGTAATCGGGTATAAGCCTATTACTTGGTTAACTGGTGCTCTCGCAGGCAGTAGTTGTAATCACACCTTCGATATTGCGTTCCTGTTATTGGTGCAATGAATCGAAGTAGCGAGAATTGCACTAAGGTGTCAAATGAGTACAAGGCATGAGCGAATACTTATGTGCGAACATCCAAACGGTAACGCGATGCGTGCGAGCTAGCTAGTGCGATGCTGGCATCGAGGTTTGGGCTAGTCCTGAAGTGTAGGCCAACACGGCCGGGCCAACAATGCACGGTTTGGTGAATAGTGCGCGCGAAGGTTGGCGAAGCCCCGTTATCAGTAACGGGAAAACAACGACTGCTGCTGCACGCGGTGTTGACGTACACGGTAAGGAATGCCTCAAAATTCCTTACACTATCCCCCCCCCTCTCAAGAAGCCCCCTCCGCTACGCGAGTGCGTGTATATCGCGGAAACCCCGGCTCCTCAGGTTCACTTGCAGGGCAGGGTGGTTTTCAATGTTGGCCAAGGGCACCCAGCTGTCTTTCCGTTGGGGTGCGGTCCTTCCAGCGAACGAGGAACTCGATCCTCTTAATTCCCTTAGGGTGGCGAATTCGATGGCTCAAAATTTTCTCGGGCACGACGATCGGCTCCGATGCAGGGCGAGTCATGGATGGTGGGCGATGGCGTGGTAGTTGGCTTGTGGTTGGGATATACGGGCGAAGCAGGCTGACGTGGAAAGATGGGCGGTAACTGGGGTGATCATGTGGCTGATTTGGAATGGTCCATAGTAACGCGGTCGATTTTTTGGTATGACGGGCAGTCTTAAGTTCTGTGTATCGAGTAGTACGTAGTCCCCTGACTGATACGTTACCGGGTGGCGGTGGTGGTCAGCGTTTTGTTTCGCGATGATGCTGGCTTTTTTTATTGCGTCTGCTGCTCGCGTTCGGGCAGCTTGCACAATCTCAGCGAATTGTTGTGCACATAGCGTTGGGTTGTCTGGGCTCGGCGTTAAGGGCACTACTGGGTTTTGCCCGTCGTTCAGTTAAAACGGAGACTGCTGCGTCGTCGCTGACGTGTCCTTGTTGTAGGCAAACTCGATCAGCGGTAGATTCTGCTCCCATGTTGTCGGGTCGTCGACGTGGCATGAATGAGCTGCTCCATGGTCTGGTTCGTTCGCCCCGTCTGACCGTTGGTCTCGGGGTGGTACGACGAACTGAACTGTAGCCGGGTCCCTAACTGCTCCCAGAGGTTCTTCCTGAAGTTGCTTGTAAACTTCGTGTCGCGGTCGCTGATTATCGCCGCTGGAATCCCGTGCATTCGAACGACGGTCGCAATGAACAGGCGAGCGGTTTCTTCTGCTGAGATCGATTTCCTGCACGTAGCGAAGTGAGCCATTTTCGGCGGTCTGTCAACGACGACCATAACCGCGTCGTTACCCCCAAGGTTCGAAGATAACCTCGTGACAAAATCTATGGTAACCTGCTGCCAAGCACGCTCGGGCGGTGGGATCGGCTGCAATTGATCCGCCTTTCTTTTGCGCGAGCTCTTCATCACCTAACACGTGGGGCACGATCCCACGTGGTGCTGTACGTCGGTCAACAACTCCGACCAGTAGTAATACCGCTGTAGTTGCTGTCGCGTTTCTTCTACCCCAAAGTGACCCGAGATGACCCCGTCGTTTGCCTCTTGCAGTAGTAGTTCCCGTAGTAGTGAATGCGCTGGTAACCAGATGCGATTGGTACGGGCTTTTACGTAATAAACTCCCTTTGCTTCTGTCAGCTACTGCAAATTTCCCTTGGTGAAAAATGGGTTGGTACTGTATCCGTGGGTAAATAGGCTAGTTAGTAGTGGGTTGGTTTGGGTGAGTAGGATATTGTGAAGTTGGGCAGTGGGGTGGGTGAGGACGTCGGCGATGTTCGATGCTCCCTTTTTGTACGTGACGGTGTAGTGGAAGTTGGACTCCAGGTAGTCCAACCAGCGAATCTGACACGGATTGAGGTTCGGTTGGGCGTGTAGGTAATGTAGTGCACGATGGTCTCTCCATACTGTCACGTCGGCTCCTGTCAGGCAGCACCGCCACACCTTGAACGTGTGCACGAGCTCCAGCATCTCGCGGTCATGTACAGGGTAGTTGCGTTCGGGTGGGTGAAGTTTGCGGGACTCGTACACTATTGGCTGAAGGCCGTTCCCGAAGTCCTGCAACACTACTGCTCCCACAGGGATGTTGCTTGCGTCGGTGACGAGTTCGAACGGACGGTGGGGATCTGCTATGTGAAGCACAAGTGGTGAGCACAAAATATTTTTTAGGGCTAAGAAGGCAGCTTGCTCTTTCTCCCCACACGTGTACTCAACCCCCTTCCTCAGTAGTTCAGTCAACGGGGCAGTCAACTGCACCATGTTGGGGACGAACCGTCGTACGTAGTTGACGAACCCCAGGAAACTCTGCAACTCGGTCAAGTTGGTCGGCGCGTGCCAGGCTTGAATCATCACGATTTTTTTCGGGTATATTTCCACTCAGTTGGCTGAAATTACGTGCCCCAAAACTCCAGTTTGTCCTGTAAAAACTCACACTTAGAGGCTTTGGTCAGTAGGCGGTTCTCACTCAGGATTTAAAAAATGGCTCAATGTCCTGTAGGTGCTGTGCTCTGTCTGGGCAGTAGATCAGCAAATCGTCTAAGTAGACGACCACGCACTTATCTTAAAGCGGGCGGAAGGCTTCGTTCATGGTCATTTAGAAAGTGGCGGGGGCATTGGTCAGTCTGAAGGGCATGACAGTGTATTCGAAGGATCCGTAGCGGGTTCGGAAGTCGGTTTTTGGGCAGTTGGGTGGGTTTGATGCGGATCTGATGGTAACCCCCTCGAAGGTCGATCTTCGAGAAGACTCGGTCTGTTCGAAGCTGATCTATCAGTTCGTCGGCTCGCGGGATGGGGAAACGGGACTTGATCGTAACCCTGTTCAGTGCGCGGTAATCAATGCACATGCAAAAACCTCTGTCTTTCTTGGTGTGAGAAGTATGGGCGCTGCGAAGGGTGACGAACTCGGGCGAATGATTTTTTATCGAGCAGGTATTCCAGCTGCTTCCGTAGTTTGTCCAGTTCGGGTTGGGTCAGTCTGAACTATCGTTGTAGTGTTGGCTGTGCCCCTGGCTCTAATTCTATCATGTGGTCGTGCGGTCGCTGAGGTGGCAGTCCCTCCGGTATATCATCCGGAAATATTCTGCTGTACTACTTCTGTAGCGCTGCCAAGTCATCCGGTACATCGGCGAGCACCTTCTGTAGATCGTTCGGTTTGTCTGCTGCCTCGGCCTCCTGAATGTCAACCGCATACATGTCAGCTTCTGCCGCTACAACGCGTTTCATCGTGAGCGCGTTGACACACATCGACGAAGACTCAGACGAGCTCCAGCGAGGTAGGGCGATGTTGTTACACTTCACTTGCACGGTGTAGTCACCCGTCGTCTGTCAAACATTAATCACATAGCCTGTCTAGGCTGTAGTGGGGTAGACACTATGGGGTACAGTTTCCTAGGGTTTCACATTTGTACCCAACTCATTTCCTAATCATTCATTCCTGTTTCTTCACATGGTATAGAGCGGGTTCCCTAGCGGGACCGTTCCTTCTTAAGGGCCCACCGTCAAATTTTTTTTTTTTCCTACCTGCCCGAAGCGCGCTTCGCGCTCTGCCCTGCCCTCGATTTCGCGGCCCCCCTAGCGGCCTGTCCTGCCCTACGCGGCCCCCTTTGCGGCCCATTGGAGGCCCCCTTCGAGGCCCCGTTGCGACCCCGCCCCGGTCCTGCCCCGTCGCCCAAAGCCGCCGCGTCGCGGCCCGGCCCGTCGCCCCGTCGCCCGGTGCCCCGTCGCCTCGGCCTGGCCCAGCCCGTCGCCCCGTCGTCCCGGCCCGGCCCTGCCCGTCGCCCCGTCGCCCGGCGCTGCCCTGGCCCTGCCCCGTCGCTCGTCGCGGCCCGGCCTCGGCCCTGCCCCGGCCCTCCCCCGGCCCTGTCGCGGCCCTGTCCCGGACCTGTCGCAGCCCTGCCCCGGCCCTCTTGCGACCCTATCGCGGCTCTGCCCCGACCCTGTCCCGGCCCTGTCCCGGCCCTGCCCCGGCCCTGCCCCGACCCTACCCCGGCGCTGCCCCGGCCCTGCCCCGGACCTGTCGCAACCCTGCCCCG